TCAGTAATTCCTGATAACATTGTCTTTTATGGCCTACAGATTTGGCTTGCAGCTAAGCAGTCAGTAAGAAAAAAAAGACAGAATTTTCTTTCCTTTAGAAACTAAGTAATGTGTATACACACACACACACACACACACACACACACAGACACACACACACACACACACACACATTGATTATGTAACTACCAAAGTTTTCTTATCACATAATTTTAATCAGGAGGAAGTATGTTAGAATTGAAAGAGCACCAGATCTGGAGTCAAAGAACCGGTGTCCCAAACCTGCCTCTTCTACTTACTCCTTGAGAAAGTCACTCAGCCTCTCTAGGCCTGATTCCTCATCTGTATGAGGAAAGCTGTACTAGATGAACTCCAAGGACTTTTCCAACTCTAAATTATATTTATTATAATAGCTACCTCATTTGCCTCCCTAGCAAGTCTCTTCCAGTCTTCAATCCATCTTGCACACAACGTCCAAAATCAACTTTCTCAAACAAAGTTCTAAGACGTTCAGAAATCTCAAATGGCTCCCTAATATTTCTAAAAGCTTATAACCCTGGCATTTAAGGCCCTCTAGAGTCTGGCTCCAACCTACCTCTCTTCCCCACAAAATGGGTCTCTTTGCTATGTCCTGAGCTTGGCTTTCCATCCCCTCCCTTCACACATTTGCATCACCTGCCCTCTTGTCTTGGAATGCCCTCCATACTAATTTCTTCTTTTCAGAATTTGTTCCTCCTTCAAGGCTCAGCTCAGATGCTACCTTCTTGGACTATTTCATCTCTCCCTTGGACTCAAGGTCTTCACTGGACAGCCTTGCCATTAGTGATTTTTTTTTCTTGCTCAAATATTCCTATAGCAATTTGATTTTTTTTTGTTTCTTTCATTTCTCATTCAGTTTTATGTTTATCTGTGTTCATGTTGTCTCTCCCCAGCAAAAGTGCATATAAAACTGTGCCTAATTTTCCTGGATGTGTCAGCACACCTTAGAGAGCATTAATATTGCTATTTTCCTCTGAAAGCTTCTTCACATCAAAAAAGCCAGAAGTGCAAGCAAAGCTCTTCCCCCAGTAGAAGCTACTCCAAGGTCAGGGACAGTTCTACTTTTGGCTTTTTGTTCCCAGTGTCTAGCAAAGTACTTTGTAAGGCCTAGACTTAATACGTATTTATTCAATTTGATTGAATTGGATTTCTGATCGTATAGATAACACCAAAAATCAATTGGTGTTATCAGTTTTACTACCTGAATGATGTTGTTATAGAGGATGTACGTACAGATGCCTGGGGGGGTTGTCCAAACCTTCAACTGACTTGCATGATTTAGGATAGTTTACTTAGCCTCCTTAGCCCTTAGCTATCATATCCATTCAATGAGGAGGCTGAAGTAATTGATCTCTAAAGTTTTATGATTTGTGCTTCATTTATTAATATGATGCTTACAAGTCTGCCTGGTATTTTCCTATCTTAAAAAAAATTTACTCAGTAATATTATGAAAATAGTTAGTGCATTCAACTTATCCTTAAACCACAGTGTAGGCAGAAAAAAATAAAAGTAATTTCAGAAAAGCAGAAATTTTAAGCATAGTTTATGGACCACAATACAATAAAATCACATTCAAAAATGGTCATTGAAGAAAGGATTAAAATTAATTGGAGACTAAATAACTTAAATAATTGGTTCATCAAAGAACAAATAACAAAATAAACATAATACCATCAAAGAAAATGACCAAAAATATAAAAAAGACACAAGTAACCAAAATTTTAGAAAAGGCAAAGCAACACTGAGGTAAAATTTTGTATCTCTTAAACTTTTGCATATATAAAAGAGAAAGAACAGATCAATGAATTAGGCATGAAACCAATACTAGAAAACCAACAAATTATAGAACAATTAAATACCAAAAATAATTTTTTTGGAACAAAGAAGAAATTAGCAAAGCAGAAGAATAAAAGACTAAATAAAGCAAATTTTAAAGTTCAATAACAATAATAGCTTATGTCTATGTAGTATTTGCTCTGTACCAGACATTTTGCTAACTACTTTACAAATATTATTTTATCCTCCCAACAATCCTGTAAAAGATAGGTGCTATTATTATTCCCATTTTAGAAATTCGGAAAATGAGACAGAGAGGTTAAATGACTTACAAAGGGTCGCACAGCTAGGAAGTAACTAAGGTCACATTTGAACTCAGGTCTTCCTCACTCCAGACTCAATGCACTATCCACTCAGAAATGAAAAGGATAATTCACAACAAAAGAAGGGAAAGTATGAGAAAATTATTTTCCTGTCTGCCAACAAAACTGATACTCCAACAGATTGACCAAGACTACAAAAATAGAAAATGACAAATGTTGGAGGGGCTTCAGGAAATAAGCATATTAATGCTGTTCATGGAGATGCTCATTGGTCCAGTCATTCTGGAAAGCAACTTGAAACTATGCTCCCAAAGTCAGTAAACTTGCATACCCTTTAGCAGAGGGATGTCATTACTTGGCTTATACCTGAAAGATGGGAAAGAGAGAAAAAGGGATGCATATGCATATGCATATGCATAAAACTAGTTATTGCAGTTAGTGAATAGGATGTTAGATTTGTAGTCAGGAAGACCCAAGTTCAAATCTGGTCTCAGAAACTTACTAGCAGTGTGGTCCCCAGCAAATCACTTAACCTCCATCTGTCAGTTTTTACCTGTCTACAACAAGGATGATAATAGCCTCCCTTTCAGGGTTGTTATGAAGATCAATTGTGATGACACATAAAGTGCTTTGCAAGCTTTTAAAACTGTGTTAATGCACTTTTATCAGCAGTCCTTTTTGTAGTAGTAGAACGGGAAAATAAAGTGATGCCTATAATTTGAGGAATGACTGAACAAATCATTACAAATGAATTTTAAAATACTTTTGTGCAATAAAAAATGATGAAAAGCCCTGGGTAGATTTATATGAATTGATGTACAGTGAAGTGAGCAGAACTAAGAAAAAAATTGTAAAGGCAAAGAGTTTTTAAAGATTTAGGAACTCTGATCAATGCAGTTATCAACCACAGTTCCAGAGGATCAGTGATTAAAACACGTCACTCCTCTTCTGACAGAGAGGGGATAACCTCAAAATGCAGAATGAGACAAATGTTTGGAAACAGCCAGTGCAAGAATTTGTTTTGCTCCATTATGCATTTTTGTTAGAAGAGTTTTCTTTTTTCTTTGTTTTTTTTTTAATTGGGGGAGGGGTGATGTAGGAGGGAAAATAAACACTTGTTAAAAATATTAAAATTTTTAAAACCTCATTAACAACATAGCATAGTATCAAGATTGTTGAATTTGGAGTCAGAAGATGGGCATTTAAATCCCTTCTATGCCAGATACTATTTGTGGCATTTTGGGCACATTGTTCAAACTTGATCTCAGTTTCCTGCTCTGTAAAATGGTGGGGAGAGTGTTGGATGAGATGATCTCCAAGTTTCCTTTCATCTCTACTGCTAGAATCCTGTGACATCATCTTTCCAATGCTATTGTGTACAGTAAATTCTGCCCCAGTTTGGAGAAATAATTATGGTCTATAACTCATTTGCTGTTTGTTACTGTAGAAATACACACACACACACACACACACACACACACACACCACACACACACACACATATATATGTATTAATATTAAAGAAAACCTATGAGGTTTGACTCATTGCATTCAATTTTTTCTGCAAGTGCAGATACTTCCATCCTCAAGGGGTGTGTGTGTGTGTGTGTGTGTGTGTGTGTGTGTGTGTGTATGTGTTATTTTTTGTGGGGGGGGCTTCTTTTTTAATATAATAGATAGGAAACAAATAATGAGAATCACTCCCTACATTTGACAATGAAAATGACAATCTCATCCCTTTTTTAAGAGGTGGGGAGAGAAGTCAAAAGTATTAAGGAAGGGACTATGAAAACACTGTCTTGTTCTTTTCTCGCTCTTATTTCCCCACAGTCAGAATCAGGAAGAATAGCTGATTTGCCTTCTAGGGATTTTGTGAAGAATATCAATAACAGTTACATAGCACCTTGAGGAAAAAGAAAATGTGTAAATGAAGAATAATAAAGGAAAATTCCATTAATTCTCCTTAGAAGGGAACAGAAAAAACAAGTTCAAACTGCCTGGGTGTAGATTAAATAGTGTTTTAATTAAAGAAAATTGGGATGTAGAAATAGCTGACAAATAGCAGTAGATATGAATAACATCATTCACAGTAGACGAGCATTGGATTAATGATTGTCTGTATTCAAACTATTACATGGAAACTTAGTTATTCTATTACTTTATTAATATGATAGTCTAGAAGCCAGAATCTTACAACAGCTCTGTGAGATAGGTACTACAGGTTTTAATATCTCTAATTCACGTCTGAAGAAAATGAGGTCAACACAAGTTTAGAGGCTTGACGATGGCTAATTTGGGAAATCTCTGGTAGAATCCCGTATATGATTATAGCATTCTACCATAGGTCTTCCAGCCGCCAAATCCAGCACTACTATGGACCAATCATATAGCAAAAATGAGAGATAATAGATAGACATCAAGCGTCACATTGATATCACCAAAATATTTTAAAAAAACTAAAGGAAATCCTTTAGTGCACTGGATAGCTCTTTTAAGGAGCTATTATAGACTTGCAGAGGATAAAAATGTGTGGAAAGGTTTTTGTTTTCATTGATGGAAAGAATACTGAGATTCATTAAAAATCATGAACCCAAAATCAAAGTAAAGGATTATCTCCCCAATTGAAATGCATTCTCCTTGTGGAAACATGCTTCATTCATCTTTGCATGCCACACATTGCCTGGCACAATGACTTTCAAAAGAATATATACTCAGTAGATGTTTGTCATATCAATTTTTTAAATTATTTCAACTGTCTTATAAAAGATTTGGCAAATTAATCACTAAGCTATTGACTCTGCTGATATTTGGGAAGAATAAATTAATCATTGTTATAACTTAATTCAATAACTTTTTTCTAGGTTCCCAGAATTACTTTGAAGTTAACAATCCACTAGAAATAGGAATGGAACTCTATACAGAAACAAATACAACAAGAGAGATTGAGGCAGCATCAGAAACTCCTGAAAGCAGTGTGTCATCAGTACTAGTGCTACCAGCTAAAATATCCTGTGAGGTAAGTTTAATAGTTTTGTAAGTACCTAATATTATGAATTATTATCAATATTATCAAATTATAGATTTTGGGTCAGTCTTTGAGTTCTTGATTTTATCAACTGTATTTGACGATTTTATAACAGAATACTTTCCGCTGATCTTTGTAGTAGAATGCTAGATTTATGTTAATTAAAGTTATTTACAAATAAAGGAGAAACTTCTCAGAGGAGATAACTGAGAATCATTCATCTTTTTCACCAAAACTACCATTATCTATTCAGTCAACATTTTTGAGTCTCTACAATGTGAACATTGATTCACAGTACAATGCTAGATGCTCATGAAGGAGTACCAAAGAAGTGGAAGAGATGGTCTCTGCTGTTCAGAAGCTTAAATTTTACTTAGAGAGATAAAATGTCCTTTTAAGCACTCTCTAATTTAGCAATAACCAAATTATGAATATCTCTGTCACATAAATGGCTAGTTGGCATTGTGTTAGAGGTGGGTCTTCATTAACCTGGGGAATTGATAAGAATTCCATGAGATTTCAAATTCCTTTCTGTGATCTACCACTGACTTTTTTGGTTTTGTATATGATATTCCTTCATATGCTAAATATGATCCCTGTGATAGATAGGATATATGTTATGTTCTTTTCATTGAGTGGCAGCATAGAATATCAGTTAGAGAACTGTCCTTGAAGTCAGGAAGACCTGAGTTGAAATGCCACCTGTCACACATACTGGCTCTGTAACAATGGGGAAATCATTTAAACTTTGAGGACTCCCAAGTCATCCTTTTAGACTTTTAATTATAGAGATAGTCTAGATGAGAACTGGCAGAGGAATTTCCAAGCTGGGAGTTCCATATATTGAAGAAATCTTATCTTTAGTCCTATCCCCATTGTTTCATCCTGTAAGACCACTTCAGACTTGGAACTCTACCTCATCACTATCCTGCGCACCTCTGATTGGAGGGTGGGGCCATGAACCCCAAACCCTCAATTTAAGGAGAAATTTCCGTGTGGATAGACAGAGTCATATGGTTAAATGGAATGTCCAATGGTAGAGACAATGGGGTAAAGACACCAAAGAAATAGTTTGAGGTTATGTTATAAATGCTAAAATGAAGTCAAGTAACATTGCATATGAATAAGAAAATTGGGGTATAGATCAACAGAGGAAGAAAAACAAGTTATATGGAAATGCTTATTCTGTTTCTTAAGTTCAGAATAAGATACTGTTGCTTATTTTCAAAGTTTTGGAGAGGAAAAACTAATCTGGAGTGACACAGAATCCAATATAGGCCCAACCATTGGGCAAAATCTAATACAATTAAATAATAGAGATAAATGTAAATTATTACAATTGAGTTCAACTCACTTTCATAAGTACATCAAAGGAAGAGTATAGCTGAACATCAGTCTACCTGAAATAAAAAAAGATCTAGGAGTTTTAATGAACAACAAACAAAGAGAGCTACATCAGGTCATAGTGGGTTTCTGCCTACCGGAGGCTGTCGAGCAAAGGCTAGATGACTATTTTTGGCTTTAATGTGGAAGGCATTCTTTCCCGGGTACCAGCTGAACCTTGACATGACTTCCAAAGAGATTCTGGCCTTTAATGAAATATTAAAGATTTCAGAGATTATACTGAAGGAAGTGGGGTGCCATGGTGGAAATAATATTTTGGAAAGATAGTTTGTCGATTGGATACAGGACGTATTCAAGAAAAGAGACATTAAAGACAAAAAAAGACTAGGTCAGAATCTATTGCAATAATGGATCACTCTAATGTCTCATTTTAGGATGGAGGTGGTCCTGGGTTCTTGAAGACACAAGCTGTGGTTGTATTTATAAGTCTGAAAAGGCTTCATGTAGAAACCTTCCTACGGATGCTGCATTTCTCCTCCAAGGAGAAGGCCATCTAAGTGCTGGTAGAGTTAGCATTAGAAGGTTGGTCAGAGAAACAAACTCATGAAACATGGAGAAGTTGATATCTGCATTAGGGGAAGTGGGATTCACCAATAAAATCAAAGATCTCTCAAAATATCAAAATATCAGTCTAAACTACAATGAGACAGTGGGACTGGAAAATGATAAGACATATTTGAAAGCAACAGATTGACAAGATTTTGTAACTCATCATTTTGATGAGTGCTTAGAACAAGGGATGAGTCAGATGATTCCAAAGTTTCAAACTTAGTTGACGAGGAAATAATGCCATAATTGACAGAAACAGGAGTGCTAATAAACATTTATATAACAGCTTATATAGCATGACAGCTAGATAAAGCTTCAGTTCTGCATTGTCCAAAAAAGTCATTTGAAGCAGCTGGGCAGAATCCACTCCTTTCACCTTCATTGCTCCTTCGATTATAAGCCACAGAAGCCATCTGTCTACACACATCCCAAAAGCAGAAACCTCCCTGCCCCTTTGTCCTGGTAGGTACTGGGGAACTGAACATAAGCTTGTTGACCTATTTTTGCTTTGCCATGTTGAGTCTCTAATATTTGCAAGTTTTCCAGGACTGGAACCAGAGGTTCCATTGACTTAAGTTTGAACACAAGGATAACTACTGCTTCCTTTATGGTATTCCATAAGCCTACCTCATTCCTCTGCCTCAGACCTGGTCACTGTTTTAGTAATTTAGTAGTATGAATTATCAAAGTCTCAGAGGGTTTCTTCCAGAGTAATGGATGTGTGTCCTGCTATATTATACATCTTCACTTGGAATAGTGAGGTCCATGTATTAAGAAGTCAAGATGCCTATCATTATCTTTAGCTGCTATTACCTTTTTTTTAAGTGAGTGCCATAGATGCCAGGCTCATCCAATTTGAAGATGACGACACAATGAATTTACTGAATGACCAAATGAAGATCCAAAAAGATCTAGACAGGTTAGCACTGGGTTGAATTTAATAAATGGAATTCATTGGAGATAAATGCAAAGTCTTAAACTTAGGTTTAAAAAAATAAACTTCACAAGGACAGGATAAAGAAGGCATGGTTAGATGGTACTTTGTCTCAAAAAAACAAAAGATGTAGGTGCTTTAGTGGACCACACTCTCAATATGAATGGGCGGTATGATATAGCATCCAAAAAAGCTAATGGGATCTTAACTTGCATTGAGGAGCATACCTCCCAGTAATTAGTAAGAGACTACCTCATTGTACCCTGATTTGATCAGACCTCATCTGAAATATTGTGTTTAATCTGGGCACTAGAGTTTAAGATAGATACTGATAAGCTGAAGAGTGTCTTTTTGTTTGTTTTTGGTTAGGCAATTGGGGTTAAGTGACCTGCCCAGGGTCACACAGCTAGTAAGTGTCAAGTGTTTGGTTTGAGGCCAGATTTGAACTCAGGTCCTCCTAGGGCCAGTGCTCTATCCACTGCACCACCTAGCTGCTCCTGAAGAGTGTATTGATGAGAGCAAATGGAATGGTAATGAGGAATGGCTGAACAAGTTGTGGCATATAATTGTGATGAAATACTATTGTTGTATGAGAAATGATGAGCAGATGGTTTCAGACAAACCTGAGAACATTTGTGTGAACTCATGTAAAGTGAAGTGAGCAGAACCAAGAGAGCATTGTGCACAGTTATAGCAATATTGTAAGGATTATTAACTAACTGTGAAAGATAGCTACTCTGATCAAGACAATGGTCCAAGACAATTCCAAAGGACTGATGATGGAAAATGCTGTCTACCTCCAGAAAGAAAATTGATGAACTCTGAATGCAGATTGTAGAATACTTTTTTTACTTTCTTTATTTTTCTGGTTTTGTATTTTTTGTCTGTGTTTTCTTTTGTGACATGGCTAATATGGAATTATGTTTTGCATGACTTCATATGTGTAATTGATATAAAATTGCTTGCCTTCTCAAAGAGGGGGAAGGAGCAGGAAGATCATTTGGAATGCAAAATTAAAAAAAAATTTAAAACATTTTGAATATAATTGGGAAATATTTAGTTAAATAAAATATTTTTTTTAAAAATCTAATTAGAGTTTCATTAGCTGCGCATTTAACTGAAATCAGTGTGTATTAGCAGAGAGAGAGAGGGAGAGAGAGAATGATTATTAGGGCCAGGCTTATCTGAAATATGAACCTGTAGAAAATGAAACTCAGAGGTAGTTAGGGAGGTGGGGAAGGAGGCTTTGTCCTTGCCCTGAAAGCCAATGCAGGGTTTGCCATTTTGGCTTACTATGTTTAAAAGAAAGATACAACTCCTTGGAGGGAGACGAGAGTAAGTTGCTTACAAAAGGAACAACTGTGACTCTAAAGAAAACACTGATCCCTGCAAAGCAGGAGGGCTCTGATCAGCCACAAGCTTAGGGGTGAAGAGACATCTTGGTTTACCCAGCTCACCAGCACCACTAGATAATTATATAAATATATACAAAATAAATGCAAAGTAATTTGCAAGAGAGTTAGTACAATGAGTTTGAGTAGGTGGGTGGGGATCATGAAAGACCTCAAGTAGGAGGTGACATTTAAACAGTACTTTAAAGAGAACTAGGGATTCTCCTAATCAGCAGAGGTGAGATTGTGAATTCTAGGCATTAGAGAAAGACAGTACAAAGCTCGTTTATGGGAGTTGGAATGTTGCATTTGAGGAGCAACAAGTAGAATGATTTCACTAGGACGTAGAAATTGTGAAAGCAAATAGTATGTAAAAAATCTAGAACAGGAGGCTGGAGCCAGATTGTGAAGGAATGTCCAATAGGAAAGTCTATATTGCATACTTGTGAAAATTATAAGTCCCTGGAGCTTTTAGATCAGGAGAATGAGATAGTCAAAACTATACTTTTTGTTTGTTTGGTTTGGTTTTTGGCTAAGCAATGAGGTTAAGTGACTTGCCCAGGGTCACACAGCTAGTAAGTGTTACATGTCTGAGGCCAGATTTGAACTCAGGTCCTCCTGACTCCAGGGCCTATGCTCTATCCACTGGATGCAAGACTGATTGGAAGGGGAGAGACTTGAGACAGGAAAATCCTTTAGGATGCTACTGCAACAGTCTAGTCAAGAGAACTTCCAAGCTCTATCTAGGGTGGTGGTCACATGAGTAGACAAAAAGACATGAATGTAAAGATAATGTAGGAATAGAATAGACAATATTTGGCAACTTATTAAATATAAATATGGGATGTGGTCATGGATTAGAAAGAATTAAGAGCTGAAAATGACTCAGAAGTTGTGAACCTGAATGACTGCAAGGATGATGGGGCCTTCAGCAGAAAAAGGGAAGTTAGAAAGAGGGGTGTGTTTGGAGGTAAAATATGTGTTCTCTTTTGGACTTGCTGGTTTTTCATACATAGCACTCTATTTCCCTTTGGAAGGCCAGTGGCTGTCCACCACATCTGAAATCCTCTCTCTTCTCATCTCTGCTTCATGGAATCCCTGGTTCCATTCAAGACAGCTCAGTAGCCACCTTCCAAAGGAGACCTTTCTGGTCCTTCCTTCTGGCACCTTGTGAGAGCCTTCTCTTTTAATGTTGCCGCCCACTTACTCTGTATGTATCTTTTCTGTTTATATTCACATTATATTTTTTAAATTTTATTTTATTCCATAAATTTTATTTATTTTATTCTGAACTTCAGAAATAAAACAAGTGCTTCCATATCATAGTAGAATAGAAAAAAAGATGATTTCACATAAAACTGCAAATCTGTTATGTACAACTTGCTATTCCTTTCAAATATATAATAAAGTTATCATGTAACTTTCTTTTTTCTCAAATTGTCTTTCTTTAGAATGTAAGCTCCTTGAGAACAGAGACAACTATTTTTTCCTTTGTCTCCTAAATGATTAATACAGTACTTAGCACATAATGAATACTTAATAAATGTTTGTTGATTGATTGATAACATGTTGGGGTTGAATGTAGATATGCCATCCACTGATAAATGTTTAACAGATAATTGGTAATACATAAGTGGCACTCAGGAGAGCAATTTGGGCAAGACAGGTAGATAGATTAGATAGATAAACAGATAGATATAATAGATAGATAAATAGATGGATAGATATCTAGATAGCTAGATAGATGGATAAATGGATGGATGATGATAGATGATAGATAGATAGATAGATAGATAGATAGATAGATAGATAGATAGATAGATAGATAGATAGATAGATGGATGGATGGATGGATGGATGGATGGAGAGATAGATAGGTAGGTAGTAGTAGATAGATAGATAGATAGATAGATAGATAGATAGATAGATAGATAGATAGATAGATGATAGATAGACAGATCATCTGCATCTAGAAATGAAGCCATGGGAATTCATGGGATTACCAACAGAAAAGGAAAGGATATAGGAAAGAGAGCAGAGCTTAGGGCAAAGCCCTAAAGTACAATCATTGTAGGGGATAGATAAGCAGATTGTAGATGAGCATCCAAATAGTTAAGAGGAGAACCAGGAGACAATAGTGTTAAAAAAAAAAACAGAATGGCAAGAATATTTAGTAGAAGAGCTTGGTCAGCACTGATTCTATCAGAAGACCTCACTTCACACTTTACTGAGAAAATAAACAAAGAGAGAAAGAGAGAGAGAGAGCCATATAGAAATACAAAGACACACTCACAGACACTTAGACTAAGGGAGGGTGGTCATGGGGAAAATCACCTTGAGAAATAGAAGAGTATGGAATCAAAAGTACAAGGAAAGGGATTGATCTTGGTGAGAAGTAACACCTCTTGATCAGAGACTGAGGTAAAGGAGGAAAAAGTAATGGATAATAACAATGAGATTTTATACATAGAATGGGGAGAAAGAATGACCTTTCAGCAAGTTTCCTCTATTTTCTCAGTGAAGTGTAAAGTGTGGTCTTCTCTATTCTATAGATTCTCTATAGATTCTACTTTATTCTCTACAGATTCATTTAGGGGAGAATTGAAGTATTACCTTGATGCATTGAATGCCCAATTAATGTTAAAAAAATTCTTAAAAATTAGTGGATCCAGTGAACATGCTGAAATGTTTGCATTCATCACAGCTTTGCAACACATGAGTAGGAGGAAAGGTGACAGATGATTGGAATAAAACAGGGTTGAGGTTTGGTAAGGTACGAATATCAATAGGACAGGTAGGCAAGGGATTAAAAATGAAAAAGTCATTCAAGTGAATAGTTGAAGTGGTTAACTATAGAGTAAGAACTGAGAAAGGAGGAATGTGAAGCCAGAGCAAGGGTGATAATGCAGGAGGGTACTGAGTGATGGAAGAACAGGAGATAATGACGAGGATGGATAATAGGTTTATGAGGAGTGGCGCACAATGAGGGATGGAAGGATAAAATGTCGTGGTGGAATAAAAAATTCTGGATCATAAAAACTGGAATACTTGTTAATGATGATGAGATTATGGCTTTGTGGGGCTGAGGTGGAGTGATTGGTTAGGATATTGATGAATTGGGAGGTGAGGGTATTTGAGGGAGGATCAACATGTATATTGAAGTCCCCTAGGATCAGGGCGGTAGTTGGAGTGAAGAGCAAGACTATAAGCCAGGAATGGGACTCAGTGAGGAAGAAAGGATAATGAAGGGCTCCAGGTAATTGCTAGCAGGGTCTCAGTAGGATGATAAATCTGAACTGAACTGAAAAGGAAAAGAGGTTGTTGAGTGCTGATAGCAGAGGAAAGATCTAAAAGGGACAGTGAAGAGTAAGCCATATATGCCTACTCCATGTCCTAGTCTAAGTGTAGGGAATGGATCCCATATTAAAGAGAATGGCTTGGTATGCAATATGTTTGGGTGGAGTCAGGTCTCTGTGAGTGGAAGAAGATGGAAGGAGCATGCGAGCAAGAGGTGAGAGATAAGGGAAGTTTGTTAATCATCAACTTTTCTGAGTCATCTGAATGGGCTGGGACAGAATAAAAGTAAAAGCGAAAGTCACAAGATCAAAGAAAGAGGAAGGAAGAGAAAGACTGGGGAAAGGACCACATTCTTCATTCGTAAGAGGCTATAAATAAAAGCAAATATAATTTTATTAAATTCCTACTTTATTTAAAAAACTTTCCTAATAAATGTAATTATTTTACTTCTCAACGTTATATTGTGCTGAAATATTTTAATAAAAAAAATTAAACAGAGAAAAAGGACAACAGACTAAAAAGTAGCTTAATATAGTGGATAGAGAACTAACTTCAGACTTTTTTTTTTGGTTAGGCAATGAGGTTAAGTGACTTGCCCAGGGTCACACAACTAGTAAGTATTATGTGTCTGAGGCCAGATTTGAACTCAGATCCTACTGAACCCAGGGCCAGTGCTCCATCCACTGCACCACCTAGCTGCCCCTGAACTAATTTCAGAGTCAGGAAGACCTGAGTTTAAGTCTTCTCAGACAGGTACTGGCTGTGTATACATACACACACACATATACACACATACATACACATACACATGTACACAAACATTTTATACATATATGTGTGTATGTATGCCTATACCTGTAGGTATATACCACATATGTATATACATGCACATAAACATGCGACACAGCCATACATATACATGCACATACACACATACAAATATTGTATGCATATGTACACTTACACATATACACCTCCATAACAACACCAAAAATAAAAGCACCCTAGACTTTAAAAGTTAGGTTAAAGATATTTTCTGTTTATTTATTTGTTTGTCTTTTTTTTTTAATTTTATGAAATGCAAAGGATTTATGTAGGATTTCTCCTTATTGTATATGTTTGATTATTTTTCTTTATTCATATTTGTTAAGTTAATAACTTAAAATGTTAAATATATATATGTGGATACAACTATTTGATCCACATGATTATCAAGACTTGAGGAGAATTCATATCTTTAATGATAACTTTTGTTTGTGCAGGGCTTTACAGCTTGTTACATTTTCACATAGCCTTATTTCTCTTGATCCCACAGAAGAGGAATGTAGGTATTGCCCATTATAGTGTAGCCATCTTGAAATGTTCCAAATAAGATAACAAAGAGAACTCATTGAAAGAGCTTTTCTAATCATTGTTAATAACCATTTTAACTAATACTTTCTGTGGTTGAACAGTGTGAAATCTGGCCAAAAGTTGATTGGGATATAACTTTTTTTTTATTTCATAGAATCCTGGTGACATATTCATTCTTTTGAAAGATGAAATAATTGGTGACAACATTGAAATTGAATTTGCTACAGACAGCAAGTGTGTTAGAACCCGACCACCTCTTTGGAGCAAGACAGTCAGGCGTATGAAAGCTTTAGGTAAGAGCCGGGTTTGTTTGTTTTGGGCGAGGAGAAGTTTAATAAATGATAAACCTTAAACCTAATTTTCTTTTCAGTGATTTTATTGTGCTTTCACTTCTCTACATAACCTCAAGATGTTCTGCCGGGTGCTTCCTGTGTTTGGGTTGTACCACAGAAGGCTGTTGCTAATATTGATTTGAAAACATGAAGGCTTGTCATTTATGGAAAATTATATTGCGTTATTTTGTGCTTCTGTGGTGAAGTGACAGCCAACATCTCCAATGATGTTAAATAGATCCATCTCAATATAGTGTTTTTAATATAGCTCAGCTATTAAATGCCAGGCTAAAGTTATTGAATTTATTACAATATTGGGATTAGTGGGGTGTTTGAATTCCCTTTAAGAGTTGATATATTCTGCCTTGTTTTTCAGTGGGTATATTTTAATCATAGTGGGTAACACTTATCTCCTTGGCTATTTCATCTGTTTGGGATCATCGCCCTCTATAGTTTACATCATGATGGTAGTTGGAGTCTCAATGAAGTGAATGAGAAATGAAAAGGGATGAAGAACACTTAAACTAGGGGATCAGATGGAGAATAAAGAACCAGAGCCAGAGGGAAGTAGGAAAGAGTGGATGACAGTGCTGAGACATTTGAAAAGTTAAAAGGGCAGGCTGAAAGAGTTCATGTTGTATGGTCTCAGTATTCTTAGTGAAGTAGGAAGCTTAGTCATCTGCTATAAGTATTAATTATGTGGGTGGGGTCGAAGAAAGATTAGAAGAGGTTTTGAACAAACTGTGGGGAATGTTGTATGGATATACCAAGGGGAGAGTAGAAGGACGATCAAACAGCTTTGGAAGAATATTGGAGATTACTTAGCCTATGTAGCTCCCCCTGTCACACGTGCCCAGATACTTCCCTACCTTGAACTCATGTTGGGTCCTGAGAGGATAGCTGTTAAGTTTTAGAGGTCCACCTTCAGAACTAACACTGTAGCTCATGGGCCCCTATTAATATGCCTCATGTAAAGAATTGGTAAATAGACACAACTAACTCTTAGCAAAGGTATTTATTAATAGTTATAGTAAGAATAGTAACTATAAAACATTACCTCCATAAATTTAGGCTCACTCTCTCACAAATACACACAGTATTCATGAGTAGAGTGGGATCAAACTTACTGTATAGTGGTAATGAGGCACACATATAGGATACCTGTTTGGCAAAGGCAATTCACAGTATCTGGTGCTGTGGGGCCTGAAATTTTTCTCGCTGCATAGAATCCAAAGGTTCTCCTTGGCTCCTGTTGGCTATAGTTTCTCTAATGCTCGATTTGCTCACTTGAATTCCCAGAACCTGCTCCTCTCCACACCTCTAATCTCTATTGCTAGTGCTAGTTGTGAGCCTACACATGCCCTCCTTCCCTCCTACAAGGAGTCTCATTCCTTGAATCTACTTTATCCCTTGAGAAACTGTATCCAGGTCTGTCTGGACTGTGTATCTCTGTTCCCTTAATAGTGCCTCAAATTTTCTTGAACCAACAAAGCCTTGAACTCACTACTGGATAAGGCATCTCTCTTTGAGGTGCTGCTGGGAATCATGACTGAATTAGGGGAGAGAGAAATCTCCTTCTGCCCCCCTGCAAGTGGTAGGGGAAATCCAAAAGCCAGGAGAAAAGAAATTACCAATAAAGAGGGGGTAGTGAGCATCCTAGGGGCAGGGAAGGATCCAAAATTATTATGTATAGAACATGAAGATCCTTTAATTTTCCTTCTGATATCCTAGTGTCAGTCCTAAACAAGGAAAGATGAGACTGGCATCTCTATAAATTTGAAGTTTGAAAACCTTGTTTGTTTTTCATGTCTGAATTAGGAAGGTGAGAAATCTCCTTCTGTCCCTCCCCCTTTCTACAAAGCATTCTAAGGCCTGTACTCCCTTGCAGCTTTTGTGCTGCTGGCTGAAGTGTCCTATGGAAAAATTAATCTGCCTTTTCCTTTTAACCACAGTAATCAAGTCATCGTCATCCTATCCACTACAAGCAAAGGTTTTATCTTTTTTTTTTTTTAGAGGGGAGCAGCTTCAGCTCATTCTAAGCTTTAGTGCTGGTAATAAATTCTTACAAGACAGTGCTAAAATTTTGCAGTTTCATGCCTGTGCTCTCACCTTCTGTATATGTCCATAGATGGGAGTAACAAGATGGAAAGAAGGATTTCATGGACCCTAAGTGAGAAGATGACCCTGAGGGATGGTGAAAGAGATATGATTCAAAAACATTAGTTGGAAAAGTAGAATTTTCCCATCCCTCTGATTGGCTTTGTGAGAGTCATGGATTGGAAGAAGTAATAGCTTCCTAATGAAAAAGTTTCAAGGGATCTGATGACCTCCTAGGAAAGCCATGTTTCTATTAACGTGAGTTTGAGATAGCTGAACTGAATAGGAGTGGACTCTAAGACAAAAAGATGATTAGAAGGAGGATGAGCTTTCAGGAAGAGATTATCTCCCTCAGGGTTTAGCATGATGTATTGGATATAAGACATGCTCAGTAAATATTAATTGTATGAATTTAATGAGTAATGATTTAATACCTACCAAAACAAATTTAATATCATCTAGATAGAGGTTCAAATTGCTGCTTGGCCAATCACTAACTGTATGATCTTCATCAAATGACCTCAGCCCTCTGGTTTCCTCTTCTGTTAAATGAGACAGTTGGATGAGAGGGTGTCTCAGATCCCTTCCAACTCTATATGTATGCTCCTATCCGATCTTCTTTGGAGGCCAGAGAAAAGGAAAAGGAGATGAGAGAAGCTGTGTGTTGAAGTGTGGAGAAAAGGAGGGAGGGACCCTGCTGACACAGTTACTTGACTATCTCCAGTTGTTTTCAGTGAGTAAGAGCCAAGAAGCTCATTTTCTGTTGCCCAGAGTCACATAATTAATTCATTAATTATTAATTTATGGAGACATTATGGCATGTTTTATGCAATTTTTAAATTTTCAGTCGACTGGAATTCTTCAACTCAGTGGAGATGAGACTCCTTCCAAAGCAGGCACTACTTCCCTAGCTCATCTTTAGTTCCTCTCCAGCTCTTCCCTTTTTTTTTTTCTGATAGCTCATTTTATTTCATCATTGTTTGGGAATTTATCTCTTTTATTTTTGATGCTGATAATTTCTTTATTTTTTATTTACTTAACATTTTATTTTTCCCCAATTACATTCTTTTAAATTTTAAGTTCCAAATTCTCTGCCTCAGCTCTTTCCTAAATGTCTACAAGCGTGGCTAGGTCTCCCCCATCCTAACAACAAAATAATCCTCAAAAATAATCCCCCAAACCATCTTCTTGACCCTGTGATCTCCTCAAGCTGTAGCCATATGTCTCCTTACTTTCACTGTCAAGGTCTGAGAAGGGATTGCCTATTTTTTTCTGTCTTCATTGTATACTCACTTCTGAACCTCTTACAGTTAGACTTCTGACCCTAACGTTCTAATAAAACTGCTCTTCGCAAGGTTATCAGTAATATCTTGGCTGCTAAATTTAATGATTTTTTTATTGGTCTTCATATCTTTGACCTCACAGAAGTTGTTTTTTTTTCCACCATTCCTTTTTAATTTATGGAATAAAACAAGCATTTCCATAACATAGTACAATAAAAAAGATGATTTCACATGAAATTGCAAATCTACTATGCAATACTTGCTATTCCTTTCAAATATACAACAAAATTATCATGTAAATTTCTTTTTTTCTCTTTCTTCCCTCCTTCCTCTCCCCCTCCCCCACCCTAGAGAAGGCTACCATTAGACACAGATAGATAGATAAGTAGATATGTAGATCAGTAGATAATAACTCTTTGGGCATAATTCCAGATGGCTCTCCAAAATGGTTGGATCAGTTCATAAATCCACCAACAACAAATTAGTGTCCCAATTTTTCTGCATCTCCATCAATGTCACTTTCCCCTTCTATCATTTTAGCCAATCTGGTAGGTGTAAAATGATATCTTAAGGTTTATTAATTTGCATTTCTTTAATAAATTATGATTTACAGCATGTTTATATGTTATAAATTGTTTTGATTTCTTCATCAGAAAACTACCTGTTGGGGCGGGGCCAAGATGGTGGAGTAAAAGCACTGACTTTCTTGAGCTCTCTCCCAAACCCCTCCAAATACCTGTAAAAATGGCTCTAAACAAAGTCTAGAGCAGCAGAACCCACAAAAAGACAGAGTGAAACAAATTTCCAGCCCAAGACAACCTAGATGGTTGATCAGAAAGGTGTATCTCGCCGGGCTGGGAGAGAAGCGAAGTTCAGTGTTGGTGCGCAGGCAAAGATGGGGCCTCAGCAAACCTGGAGCAGACCTCAGAGGACTGAATCACAGGTAGCTGTAGCAGTTTCCAGACTTCTCAATCCACAAAAGCCAAAGACAACTTAGAAGGTCAGTAGGAAAGGTCTATGACTGTGGTGAGAGAGGAGCTTGGTCCCAACCCTGGTCCCATCACAGCCTCAGGGCTGTGGCTGCTTCTGGAGCTCTTGGCCCACAGATGGAGGGGGAATTGAGTGGCTAATCAGAGGGGGAATGCAGTGATCTCTTTGCTGAGGCAAGATTCTCTTGCTTTGCCCGCTCTTGGATCTGGGTCACAGTTCTGGGTGGTGGTCCTAGGGTGAAGAGAAGTGCTGGCATGGTGGAGCTTGTAGTGGCAGTAGAGAGTAAATCCTCCTCACAGTTCCAAGGCAGAAAAGAGTGCTTGTAATCATTCATAGACCAGAGCACAGGCCAGGAAAGGAGTAAATACCTCACCCTTGATCAAAGCACCTTAGAAGAACTGAAAATTTGCAGGTCCCTAGAAGTATCTCTGAAAACAGCTGCACAAAACCCTGAAGCTTGGGACAGTACATTCTCCACACTAGAAGCAGATCCCTACCTTAACAAAGAGTTTATAACTCACTTAATTGGCTGGGATCATGAGCAAGCAGTGCAAAAAGAGTGAGACTATAGAATCTTACTTTAGTGACAAA